TTTTTCCCCTTTTTTGTAAGTGATCACATTCCCTCTGGTATAGGCCAGGTATCTCCAAACTTTCTAAACAAAGGGCTAGTTTACTGGCTTTCAGACTTTAGGGAGGTCAAACTATGGCCATTGGGAGTAGAAATTCTCCTGCATCATTGGGAGTAAACAATGCATCTTTGGCATTAGGAGAGGAATAGCGCCCTATTCTTGGTGTAAGTTGGAGAAATAGTGCCCCATCAATGGTGTCAGTGGTATGAATATTGCCCCATTATTGGTGTCAATGGGAGGAATAGGGCCCCATGGTTTGTTTCAGTGAGAGGAATAGTGAAAGTTGTTGATGTCAGTAGCAGGAATTATGCCCCCTTGTTTGAGATAGTGTCCTGTATCAGTGGGAAAAAACGTGCCCCAAGGGCCAGATTAGGGCAAGCAAAGGGCCGCATCTGAAACCTGGGCCGTAGTTTGGAGATCAATGGCATAGGGAGCTCAGAGAACTGGAGGAGGAGAAACAGCAGTACACTGATCTTCGCAGTGAATAGCTGAGCAGGAGGGAGGAGGGGGTGTATCAGGACAAGTCTGATTATTGAAGGAGAGCAGGCCAAGTTCTTAGCACAGCCAGCCAGAAAATGGACCACCGTGTTCTCATGCCTAGTGTGGCCAGTTTTTAATAAGAAAGCAGAGAAACTGGCAGGAACACCAGGGATTTCACACAAAGAAAGCAATACAAAGAGAAAAGGATATGTTTTCATATAAGTACATGATAGTGTAGGCACAGATCAGGGATATGAAATGTTGGGTTTACATATTCTTTACATTCTGGGGCAAAATCCCTTGCAAAGTGAACTGCCTATTTACCTTTAGTAAATCAACCCCAATGTATCAGTGCCTGTGTAAGGGCATCCACAGACAGGCAGATTGATATCAGCTTCATTTTGTTTCATTTTATAATACCATGCTTTATATATAGTCTAATAAAGGAAGACAGTAAAAGCAAACATAACACAAAACATTGGTATAGTCTTTTGCTATTAAAAGTCGCCTCTTGTGCTATAAATGAAAGAAATGTCTGAACATAAGCATGTATTACCATCCACGGCACTCAGTGGCTCCTTTGGGTCTCCTTGGCGAGAACTGGATTTATAAATCAGAGCTCCAAGATTTGGTCTTGTCAATACACGGGCTTGCGGTCTCTGAAGGTAAGACTGGATTTGATAAGTGTTCTCTCCATCATCTTTAGGAAGCACTTCATCATGTTGACTGAGTTGAGGGGCATGGTATTTATTAGAGTATATTGAAGAAACTTTTGCTCTTCCATTTGGATCTGGATTATCAGGACCATGTAACACAGACTTTTGTGTCAGGTAAGTTTTCAGTGCTGCCAGTAAGGTCTTTTTTTCAGCCTGTGCTTCCGATTCCTTTGGCAGTTTGTCAGCTAAAGGTTTAGGTAATGTCTTTGCAACCATCTCAGGAGTTTTCTGATGGGACGTCGGAGCAAACAAAAGATCTGAAGTTTTTCCCTTCGAGTTCTGAAAACAGAAAGAAAAACAAAGTGATTTAATGCATTATTAACTGTTGTCATTTATATCCTTGACAATAATGGTGACACATTTTCAATTAGCTAAAACAAACAAGGTAACAAAAATCCAATTGCTAATGCTCCAAATAGTCTTTAATTCAAAATGATCTTTCAGGATCCCTGGAGAAAATTTTTATTACTTAAAATGGTAGTTTGCCAAATTGAAGAACTTTCTTTATATTTGTTTTGTAATAAATTAAAAGAAAGCAGCAGGCAACACACATATAGATGTAAGGTGTACAATTATTGTAATGCATACTTTCTATTGTCCTTCAAGAGTAACTGAAGGCAAAAAATTACAAATTGCAAATAGGTTTTTATGGCAGATGTTTCTTCTGCATTAAAGTGGTATTAAAGGCTAATTTTTATTTTTTTTTTAATAACAAACACGTCGTACTTATCTTCACTGTGCAATTGTTTTGCTCAGAGTAGCCCCGATGCTACTCTTCTTGGGTCCCCCACCGGCACTTCTGGCTCCTCCCCCCTGAGCGGCTTGCTATGGGAGGGGTACTGGTGCATGCTCGCTCCCGAGCCCCACTCTCTGCATCTATAAGACACAGCACAGAGCTGCTTGGTTTCACACCGTCCCCCACTCCCTCTTCACTGGCTGTGATTGACAGCAATGAGAGCTGCTGTGTCTCAGCCAATGGGGAGGGAGAGACTCCGGAGAGCTGAGGCTTCCATGCACATCGCTCCATGGAGATCAGGCAAGTATTAGGGGAGCTTAGGGGGAATGCAAAATCATAGATCCATGAGAACGCTGACAGTACTGTAGAGGGAGTTTAAACAGGCTGACTATATATGGTGCAATTGAGCACCGAAAGAATGTGAGTGGCTCATTTGTCGTTTTTTAAAATAAAGGTGTTTTTAGCGATAAAGCACTATGTTTTACTTATCTTGATTTTCATGCTGAGCAATGAAATTCAAAGGAGGAGATGGTCTAGAGTTGATATGATTGACCCAGGAGGAGAAATATATCTCAGGATACACCTCTACTAAGTCAATTTAAAGGGACACATGCGTTATTTAACCAAACATTATATATGAGGTCAAAAGCTCCAGGTGAGAGCACATCAGGTGTATTGGTGGTGGCGCACAATATTGAGAGAAGAATTGAATGCATGGATGAAATATGCACAGAGTGATGTATAACAAGATGGCTCCATGAAGGACTATGCACATTAGTGGGACTTTTTAGATTTTAACAATATTTTTTTAAGTTCTGTGTGCATTTATATTGTATATAGTAAAACTCACATAGTTTATGGGGTAATTCATGTAAATGGGTACTATAGTTGGAAGCACTGCACGTTTGTTCACATTATGTTTTCTGCACATTAATATGAGTATGTGTAGGGTGTGAGCAGCTTATGCGACAGCCATTTTTGTTTTTCATGAGCAATAATCTTCCTCCCCTCCTCCTTCCTCCTGAAAACTGGAATTTGTAGCTGTAACTGTTAACAAACTTCAAAATAACCTCTCATCTTAATTAAAACACAAATAGACCCAACGTGCAGACCTGTCCAGGGCTGTAAACAGCTAATTAGTCTTGGCAGAATGTCTGTTTCCATGAACCATGGAAAACACTTGTCCTATCGTAAAACAATAATAACTCAGTTAAGCAATCACACATGACCTGTAAGGCCATTAGAGCTTTAGGTTCATGGGAACCTACAACAGATTGTCAAATTTGGTGAAGTTGTTACCTGGTTTGGGACTTCAAGTTGCAATAGCCTGTTCTGCAACTGCCCACTTCAGTAGACAGAGAATGAAGAAAAATGACACATATGGTCCCATCTCCTAGCCTTCAACAGTGCAAAGCCTTTACCAGAGGAATACAGATGGCTTTTTTTTTACTTAGTAATTCACATATACATTGATTTCTCAAAATAAATGTTCTGTCATATTCCTTCTCGTGTTTTTCTTGATGTACATTCTGCACACACAATTTGTCCTGCTTTATGTCGCCCACTCTTCTGGAGTCTCTGTCAGCCATTCATAGGAGTTTCAGGAGGAGTGCTTAGCAGTGATGGAAGGATGATATGAGGCATGACATGACAGTGCAAAGACTTACAGGCAAGATATGTACTCTAACTGTAGGATTGCACATTGAGGGCAAACAAATGCCAATGCTGTATTAGAAGGCAGTGAGTGAGTGTTGTTGCCCTTCAACAGGAAGCTGTATTGTATTAAGAGTGACCAGCAGGATTAACAGGATTAACAGGTGAAACTCCTGAGTCCTGACATTGCTTCCTTCAGATAATATTAGTTAAAGGTCATATATCTAATTAATACTATTTCATCCCCTTCGTGCCCCTTCTCCCGACTTCTCTGTCGAGATTGATGGCACAACTTTCAGCCCCTCCATGCATGCCAGGGTGCTAGGTGCAACACCGGACTCTGAACTCTCCCTTCGGACCCACATCCATTCTCTATCCAAATCATGCCATCTCAACCTCCACAACATCTCTAGAATATGTCCCTTCTTAATCAATGACACCACAAAGCTTCTAATTAACTCTCCGGTTATCTTTCACCTTGACTACTGCAACTTCCTCCTCATTGGAATACCTTTACATAGGCTATCCCCCCTTCAGTCCATCTTGAATACTGTCAGACTCATCCACCTTACCAACCGTTCAGTGTCTGCTATCCCTCCACTGGCTTTGGCTCCCCCAACTAATTAGATTCAAGATACTAACAACAACTTACAAAGCCATCCATAACTCTGCTCCCAGCTACATCACTAACCTAGTTTTAAAATACTAACCAAACTGTTCACTACAGTCCTCATTAAACCTCCTGCTCTCTAGCTCCTTCATCACCTCCTGACATGCTAGCCTCCAGGACCTTTCAGAGCCTCTTCCATCCTTTGGAACTCCTTACCCCAATCTGTCCAACTATCTCCTAGTCTATCCACCTTAAGGAGATCCCTGAAAACCCATATCTTTAGAGAAGTCTATCCTGCTTCTAAAGCAATCCTCACACAAAAATAGAAAACCTCCATATACCCTATCCTAGTCTCTCTCAACCAGGGTGCCAAGGCACCCTGGGGTGCCTTGAGGTTTCTTCAGGGGGGCCTTGGCAAAATGTCTAAAAATGTCTTACACAAAGTCACAGGTTTTCATTGTGCACCATTACGAGCTTCTAGCCGCCGGCATCCTGACAACCAAGGACATCATCAGTTGAGAAGAAGGATGTCAGCTGCATGCACAGCATCCTAGTTTGACCCTCTCCTGCCCATTTCCATCAGTGCTGGGGTCACATTAGCTTAGTGATGGAGAGAAACTGAGAGCGAAGAGAAACGCTGGAATACTAGTCAGTACCAGTGTGCAAAAGTGTATTTGCTTTGGAAGTATAAATCACCTCTTATGTTGGGTGTCCTACATGTGTGGATGTTGCTGCGTTATATAACAATATTATAATAGTTTTTCACATTTTAGAATGGGGTGCCTCAAGACTGTCCATAATTTTAAAGGGTGCCACGAGACTTTCCATAATTTTAAATGGTGCCTTGACTGAAAAAAGGTTGAGAAACACTGCACTATCCAATACCCACTGTTGATCCAGAGAAAGGCAAAAAAACTCAATCAGACATAATCCAATTTGCTCCAGTGGGGGGAAAAATTCCTTCCTCATCCCCCAAGAGGCAATTGGATATTCCCTGGATCAACTTTACCTACACATATTGTTATCCAGTTATAGTATATGAAATGTTGAATTGAATTGTATTGTAACTGTACTGTCTGCCTTTATTTTGTAAAGCACTGTGCAAACTTCTGACATTGTATAAACCCTGAATAATAACATTATACAAATTAATAATAGTAAGTGAGTTCACATTCTGTTTAATAGAAACTGAGTTTTCCTTTAAATGTGGAGCTGTAGCCTCTGTGAATCTGCAGCATCATTCACATTTACTTGGGGCAGAATTATCTCCAATTTGGGCCATTTTAGTGTAACATTATTATTACACATACAGTAAGTCATTATTATTATTACATTACTAATGTAAATGTTTTACTTTACAACTATATTATTTCACTATACTATTACAGTTTTACTGAAACTTTGGTATAACATAATTGTCAGAAAATGTGACTCCTAATTACTGCAGCTATTTTTCTGTCTCGTCATGGCCATTAATTGCCAGAGATTATGCTGTACTATTGTTCTACCATTGTATTGTAAAAACTTTATTGGTATATTTACTTTATTAAAAATCCCAGAAGGTTACTTGTCCTTTTTTAATTAGGCATAATCATGAACATTCTTCAGATTTCAGCCACAGTTACAAATATATCTGAGACTGTGTTCAGTTATGCAGAAAACAAATTCCATACATACACAGACTTATTTAATAAGGCAGAGAGCAAAGTGCAGTAACCCCTATCAACCAGTTAGAATTCATCATTAAATAAATGCTGTGAAGGAGGAGGGGAGAGGAGATATACAATGCACTTGTTTCCTCCACTGATTAAGGTTTTAGTGGAATTTTACAATATCACGTTTAGGGTGCTATACTTGCCCGGTGTGTCTCCTTGTAATTTGAGGTTCACCATGGATATAAAGCTAAGATAGGCTATTTTTAACCAGTCTTCTCCAGTCTGATGACCAAGCAGCTGACAAGGGAAGGTTAAGATCAAAATGCAGACTAAAAGGATAGTAAGGGGTTGTGTACACAGGCATCATAACCGAAAGCAGGGAAATCATAATTAGGGCTCATTTACACTTGCGGTAGCCCTCTGGAGAACAATACAAAGCATTATGCTGCTTCCTTACTGCCTATTTTAACCCCCAAAGGCCAGCACCACTACATTCACTTAAATGGGTTGCATTCAGTGGAGGTGCTTACTGTCCACTGAATGCAAAAGTGAGGGTTATTTTTGTATATACCCTTTTATACACCCGCCTTTGCAACTTTGAGGGAACACGCCTTTGGGGGGGAACGAGTATGTAGTTTTGACAGATTTGACCAACTCCCACTGCTCGGATCACTTAGGCAATGCAATCGGAAGTTCTCCTCTCCCCCCCCCCCCTCTATGCAGTCTTCTGGGACAAGTCACAGGTCCAAGAAGAATGTGGGACCAATCACAAAACACAGCACGGCTCGTACATTCACAGTGGGAAACCGGCTGTGAAGCTGAAAGCAGCATAGCCGGCTGTCCACAGTTGGGATGCCGACACTGGGAACCCGAAGCCCAGTAAAGAACCAGCCTGCATCAGGACGGTGCTGGATCCCTGGAAATGAAGGTGTCCTTTTATCAAAAGTCAGCAGCTACTCTATCTGTAGCTGCTGACTTTAATTTTTTTTTTGTCCCCCAGACTGAACAATCACTTAATTTGCATAGAGCAGTGAATTCTTAATCCTCGTTTAGACTTGAAGTTGGGGTGGGAGGGGTGGCTAAAATGTGTGGCTGACCTGCATTTTTGCCAACCGCCTTACCATTAGGCTGAAGTAGGCAGCATGGGGGGAGGTTTACATGCTGCGGTCATGATGCTTCCCTTCTGAGATCCCTTCAGAGAAGCAAAGCAAATCGCCTTGCAGCACGATTGCTGGCAAAAATGGGGTTAAAAACAGGCGATGAGGAGGCGCTGCATCACTTTCACATTGACTGTCAGTCTCTGGAGCATGATCCGGAAGCTCCACTTTTAGTAAATTCCCACCATGAAGCCCAGTGTCACACCACCACAGACTGATGAGTCTGATGTATTGCATTATGAATAAGAAACTTTGAAAGACCAGTTTGGGTCCTGGAATCTGTTTTTTTCAATATTACAATTGCACATCACAAGAAACCAAGTGCTTTCCCTCTAAACAAGTGTCCCTGCCTGCCTGGAGTTCTGTTTTCACTGATCTGAGCTTGATACACTGACAGATGAATGGCTGCTATTGGTTGTAGTCAATTACATATCATAACTTTTAACTAACTTATTAACTAAGCCTGAAAGAGCATAAACTGTTTTCAGGGCAGACCTGACATGAAAGGACTCATGCGGTGGTTATAAATTTATAATATTAGATTTAACCTTTAGAACAGTTTTCAGTGGTTTACTGTACAGTGCTACTTTTGAACAAAAATCAATAATATATAAAGGGTAGAAGAGAGCTTGGCATTCTAATAGGAACTTAAAATCATGGCAGATTGACAGAAGTCACTTGGCCCTCTATTACTGAGTATTTCTTCCAGTAAATCCTGTTATATTTTATTTTCAAAACCGACATATGAAAGGTCAAGTGGAGATTTTATTTTATTAATACAACAGTCAATGTATTTGAGTGACACCAGTAGTTGAGTATAATACTGGTTTGGGATCTGTAAGCTCTGAAGTCATGTAAACAAGAGTTTTCAGGGTAACGATTGTTAAAAAGATAGATATGGGTTTGTTATAGGTACACTTCAGATGAACACAGTGGACGAGGCTTATGTTCAACTTAGCTTCTGTTTTTAATTCAGACACAGATGACCCTAGGGGTAGCATTATAACAATACTACCTAGGCCTACGGTCTAGGTATATGTGAGATGACCACCAAGCATTCTAATAGGTGTATACTCTGAATGCCCCTTGAGTTAACGTGTATATAAAAGATTTTTTCTTTTCTTTTGGATAAAGTAGGAAAGGATCAGACCCTTTGTCAATTTTTGTTTGTGAATGAACAGGAGCCTCTGTAGCTGAGGCTGCAGAGAAAGGGATTTAGGAATCAATCCTCAGTTCCTTTATCTGTCTCAAAGCCTTTCCCCCCCAACAGCGTTGTGGAAAAATTTATAACAATTTTGAAAAAAGAAAAGATTGTAAAAAAAATAATAATTTAACCACTTCAAGTCCGGACACTTTCACCCCCTTCTAGTCCAGGCCAATTTTCAGCTTTCTCCACTATCACACTTTGAGTGACAGTTACTCAGTCATGCAACACTGCACCCATATGAAATTTTTATCATTTTTTGAGACAGATAGAGCTTTCTTTTGGTGGTATTTGATCACCACTGGGTTTTTTTGCTATATAAATGAAAAAATACCAAAATTAAAAAAAAAAATCATTTTTTGCTTAGTCTTTGTTATGACATTTAGCAAATAGATAATTTTTCTTCAAAAATTTAGGCTAACATTTTTGGGGTAAAAATAACCCCATATAGTTTATATGATTTAGTCTGTGTGAAAGCTATAGAGTCTACAAACTATGGGATGTATGTTTGAAAGTTGAGATCCTAAAATGCCGGACGCTGGTATGGCATATGGCAGTGATCAGGACACTAGTATGGGGTATGGCAGTGATCAGGACATTAGCGTGAGGTATGGCGGTGATCAAGACACTGGTATTTATTAGCCAGGACGCTGTTATGGGGTATGGCAGTGATCAGGATGCTGGTATGAGGGATGGCGGTGATCAGGAAGCTGGTATGGCATAGGGGTGATCAGGATGCTGGTGTGGGGCATGGCGGTGATCAGGATGCTAGTATCAGGCATGGCGGTGTTCAGGGTGCTGGTATGGGGTATGGCAGTGATCGGGATGCTGGTATGGGGTAGGGCAGTGATCAGGGCGCTTGTATGGGGTATGGAGGTTATCAGGGCACTGGTATGGTGTATGGAGGTGCTCAGGGTACTGGTATGGCATATGGCAGTGATCAGGGTGTTGGTTTGGGGTATGGAGGTGATCAGGACATTGGTATGGTGTATGAGGGTGTTTTGTGCGCACTGGGACAGGTGACAGGGTTTCCCTGCATTATTTTTATGTATATACTGGGGAAGTGATCAGGGACACAGGGGCACTAAACTGGGGCACTGGGGTGGCTGGCACTGAGGTGTGTGAGTGTGCAAGCAGCCTGACAGGCTGCTGTACACTCACACACTGCAGCATCGCTTCTCTCTGCTCTCACACTGAGAGCAGAGAGAAGCAATCTTTACATTCAGTTTCATTGTTTGCTATGTGAGTGCTGTGATTGGTCACAGCAGCCACATGGTAAAACACCACATGATAGACCGAACACAGCAGTAATGTGATCCGCTGTGTCCGGGCGACACACCGATCAGCAGGAGCTATCAATGTGGGCTGATGTACAGGAATGTTAGCCCACATCGACGCTGCTTCCTGTCTGCCATCTATGTACAATGGGCAGACGAGAAGAGGTTAAAAAAAACTCACATTGGTTCTTTTGCTCATACAGTGTGAATGAGCAGTTTGTGTGTCTGGAACCACCCATTACTATATCAGGATACAGTGACTGTACGAACACAGCCACAGATCCTAACCTGACAGGTGTGGGTGAGTGTCCTAAATGCACACTGTCTGTGTTTGGGGCCATACACCCACATCCACATGCCTGTCAAATTAGGAACTCCAGCCACACATACAGCCACAAACAAAATAAAACATATTGATTCACACTGTACAGGCCACAGCACCCATGTGAATGAGCCCCAAGCCTTTATTCACACAGAGAACTTTATTTATTAGCTCTATACAGTTTTATCCTTGGGATTTTGCAGGATTTTTGAAAGTTGTGTTGTGTTTGTGTC